GTGTGAGTGTTTTTTTTATTTTTAATCAGAAAATAACCAGCACTTTTAACGGTGTTCTAATAAGAATTCATTGGTCAAATTTTCACAGAATGTTCTTCAGATAAAAATCTATATAAAAAACGAAAAAAAATATTTTTGATTGAAATTCACAAATAAACTGCATCTCTACCTTAACTGAGTACAACACTGTTTCAAATTTATTGTAATGGAAAAAAATTGAAATGAATGCTTGGGAATTTAGAGTTTATAGTTCTGATATGTTTTCAACCACATGCCTATGTGCGGTACATACTCCACGGTAATTCCCTGAAACAATCTGAAAACTGGTCAACAACAAATCAAATAGACAACGTCTAATTTGTAAAGGCCGGTGGTCGTCACGCCGCATATGAGCGATATTTGTGTTGATAAACATTGATTTTTCCACAGTCCAATCTTCTAATGGACATCAAGAATACGTATTTTGACCTAGGCTAAACGTACTGCCCGTGACTCATTTGAAGCCTTCCATTCACCAAGGAATTACATAGTTAAAGCTTAGTAACGTCTCAGTTTGTACTCGTTGGTCGGTGTCAGACTCAGAGTCGCCATCTTTGTTCATATTAGTCCCATATCTTGCGTATGCGTGGCGCGACGACCACCGCCCTTTAATTAAAAACACAAAATGTAAATTGCTTTGTGTAATAATCCGAAATGTTTCATGAGTTTTGAGAGTTTTCTGAACTCGATGTATCGTTTATAACAGCAGTCTAAGGGCGACGTCTCTTTTTTGGAGGTGAAAACACCGATGGAGCCTGAATGCTTGATACGTTCACAGTAAAGGAGTCGCCGTAAATCATCGCGCCGTCGTAGACTGACAATACGTGCCATGGTCATATGATAATATTGTGCATCTGACACAGAAAACAGTAAAATTTAGGCGTCCGTAAAACACCGAACGGACGAATGTCTTCCTCTTTTGATAATTGTGCGTCACTTTTACGTCATATTCGATCATTTCATTGTTTACCGCAGATGCAAAAACGCTAATAGTTTTTCATTGCCATTCCATTGACATTCCGGGCTTAACTATGTGATTTGAATTATTATTACAAGGAGGAAAAACAATGATGACGTATAATATTAAGCTTATCCGAGAACACCGTAAAGTATACGCTCAGGCAGGAAGGTATCGCATCTACCTCCGCCACGCGTCGGCCGTTGTGATCACCGCAGTGCCTTCGCATATACCCTGCGGCATTCTCATCATAACCGCAGAATATTTGCATAATCACTCGGTGAATTACGTTATAAGATATGTTAATATTTAGTGCAATGTTGAGACCATAAAGTGCAATTTAATGTATATTGTATGGCGTAGATCTACATATTTGACAAATTTAAAATCTATATTAACAGAGACCGCTAAATTAACCAAATTTGAATAGTATGTAATTTCTTCCAAATGTGGCAATGATGATAAACAGTAGCTTCAAAATAAAGTTGTGGTACATCATGAGAAGAGACGAGAAGACAAGAAGGTCGTTATGGATGTGCAGAATGAACAACTGCATATCATTTAGTTAGAAGTTAGAAAGATTGCTTTCAAGGCGATAACTCTTATTTACCGTACAGCGAAGGTGGTATTAGTCTTCGGGAGGGGAGGTGGGTTGCTCGCATAATAATAAAGGTAAACAAGATTTGATGTGTTATCCACCGAAGACAATTACGATTTTTTTAAAAGTGGGTCACAATTAAAAAATGAGAAAAGTAGATTTTTGGAACAAGATGCTATGCTATGGTGAAATAAATTATCGTCCCATCTTCTATTTTCAACTTCTTATTCAGACTGGCAATCGGAATAGTCTCGAAAACGCTATCTAGTGACCGTTGAAAACTATACAGCTCTTTCCTCAGTGGCTTGATGGATATACAAACTGCATAAACCTGTTCGCTAAGAGTCGCCCCTAGTCTTTCCGTATTTCTTGTTTTTATAAAATCCGTTTGCCTTTTTTTTCAGACATGCGTAATGACAGTTTTGTATTCAAACCTGACGTAAGAATAACGCGTTACGTGTGATGAATTTGTTTTGCGTATCTGTTAATCGACTTAATTAGCTGATTACTAGCGAATGGATGTGTTATGTCTGTCATCGTCCCGGCCCATTTGAGGTTCTGGACGGAACTTGGCTCAGTGATTTAGAACTAATTACGAGATAACCGTCGCTATTTGGACTACTATTTCTGACAGTTAGTATTCGCAGTTATTAATGTAGTGATCGATTAATCAAAAGATATGACGTGTTCAGTACTTAGTGTGATTAGTTGAATGTGTGAAAGCCACGCCTTAGAATCTTAATACTGCTTTGTAATTGGTTGTTTTAGTTGGTCTCGGCGAGTACACCAGGACAGACGCAGTCCTGGAGAGTCTTGGGGCGAGTCTTGATGCAGTGTTGGACAGTCTTGGGTCAGCCTTGCGATAGTCTTGGGGACTTTTACCCAGGGTGCTGTGTCTTATAGAGTGCTCGACTGACCGACTAAGACGAGAGTTGAAACGCATTTCGTTGTGTGTGTCTTATTTGACTGTAAAGCTTAAGTGACTTTCCCGACCCCGTACCTCAAGGGGACGCGATAGAGAGACGAGACGAGATTCCCCCCTGACACGTGTGGAGAACCCCAGAGAAGAATTCCCCCCTGATATAAGTCAGACATACTCGCTGTAATTTGCTCAAACATATACGATTCACAACAAACCACTAATGACTGTATGCAGTACTTCTTGTGCTATGATATATTTGCACACAAGTTGTCCAACGAACACTTTAGAATTGAGCCATGCAATTTCTCTGAATAACAGAACATGACTGTGTTATAAAACACATATCGACTAATCTTATTCAAGCAACAGTATATGTCCCCGTTTGGATCTGTTGGCCACCTGAACTAAAATTATTTCCTCAAGGGAAACATACACATGATATTTGCCTTTATGGCCTGGTTCTACTGTATAGCACTCGGGTCGGGCACTCAGCGTTATGTATATTGTTTTTGAATCAGACAAGCATATAGAAACACGTTGTTGCATTTTCGCTATTTATTGAGTTGAAACTAAAATTAATCGAAGCATTCTAAAATTATTTCCCCATAACATTTTGACGATAATCATTGCATTAAACATGGAACATCTAGATCATATTTGTCATAAAACATGCTCACTAATTATTCATCATTTGACGAAGAAAAATCTACAATTTTAATAAATCAAATTTAATCCCATCTCAGTG